TGTAAACTAAAAGAAAAATGTGCACTGCAGATGTTAGTTTCGTTCATAGATAAAATACTATAAAGCCAGAAAAGGAGTATTGTCTATGAGCAACTTTTGTTCAATTTTTATATTTAATTATAATATGGTTTATCCCCTTTTTACTTAACCTAACATGAAACTTTCTAAAGTACATGAAATTCAAACAAGGCTAGTTTCTTAGGTAATTATCTATTATTGTTTCAACAATTCCAAGAAATACCATTTACATTGAAAATAACAGACCAAATTATTTCAATTCCTTATAACAACACCCCGGGAAAAAATATGTTTATGTTGACGTTATTCAAATTGGTCAACTATTTCAAGTGTCTCTGTAAACTAAAAGAAAAATGTGCACTGCAGATGTTAGTTTCGTTCATAGATAAAATACTATAAAGCCAGAAAAGGAGTATTGTTTATGAGCAACTTTTGTTCAATTTTTATATTTAATTATAATATGGTTTATCCCCTTTTTACTTAACCTAACATGAAACTTTCTAAAGTACATGAAATTCAAACAAGGCTAGTTTCTTAGGTAATTATCTATTATTGTTTCAACAATTCCAAGAAATACCATTTACATTGAAAATAACAGACCAAATTATTTCAATTCCTTATAACAACACCCCGGGAAAAAATATGTTTATGTTGACGTTATTCAAATTGGTCAACTATTTCAAGTGTCTCTGTAAACTAAAAGAAAAATGTGCACTGCAGATGTTAGTTTCGTTCATAGATAAAATACTATAAAGCCAGAAAAGGAGTATTGTCTATGAGCAACTTTTGTTCAATTTTTATAGTTAATTATAATATGGTTTATCCCCTTTTTACTTAACCTAACATGAAACTTTCTAAAGTACATGAAATTCAAACAAGGCTAGTTTCTTAGGTAATTATCTATATACCTCCCATTTCACATGAATTTAATTTTTCATGTCTTTATTGTATTTAGTTCATTTCAATGTATTCATTCCCATTCCTCTCTCAAAAATTCGGAAAAAAAGGACAAAAAGACACATTAATGTTTTGACCTCCACCTCCGTAAACATTTTCAGAGCAAAATTTACCACTTATATTTTCATAAGTTACAATCATCATAGAGGAAAGTGCTTTTTCGTTTTCACCGAATGCATAAAAGGAAAGTACCTGCTTATATTTTTTCATTTTTTTGTCATAAATTGTGGCGTACTACGTATGTTTGTGTCTTATTAACATAATGTCAAGTTTAAGTTGTTTAGGCACACCACTTGTGCAATATGTATAAATGCACATCATTAGATTATACTTTTGAACAATTTTTCTAAAAGAATAATAATATTTCTACAATTCGTATTAAAAACATTAAATTGGCATTGAATGCAAAAACGTTCTCTTAAATTTATTCAAACAGTTTCTACAAAAAAAAATGCTTTCTGCAAAAAAAAATCTGCAAAAAAATGTCTCTTTGTTAGGTTGTTTTTGACTCAAATTATTAAATGAAGATATGATCTTTGCACTTTGCAGGACAATTTAAGCAATTGTATCATGAACGGGATCCCGTTGCATATTACATTCTTCACTCAGATTATTGAGAGGAAAACAATGATTTGTGTGACAGGGAAAACTTATTACTGATTGCAAAAAATAAATACCTCACAAAAAGTTTCCTTTTATAGTTTAAATTTTTCAACAGCTTTAATGATGTGATTTTATTAGGAGTGCAATCTAACTCACGCTACACTCAGCAAACGCGGATCAAATATTGCATGTTGCGCACGCATTAAAATAGTAAAAATAGGCGCGCAGTGCGTACATGTTGTTAGCCTCTAAAAGATCAGCAGCGATACGCCGAGCAAAAATCAGGGCTCAGCAACTAAGCTTAGTGCAAAACCGATAAAATAATGGCCATAAAAAAAACAGTCGTTATTCTTTCTACTGTTGACAATCCTAACCTACACAGGTCTGATATTGTATGATAGTGTGTATCACAACCTCGGCAATAAAGACAGCCAGCCAGCCGCAAACACTTAAGACCAGTTCCTCCAATCAATAGTTCGTTGCACTTTACGACATTGATGTTGAATAGAGGTAGCTGCACTCTTTCCATAGCAAAATAGAAGTTCTATTACAACAGCTATTTTAAAAAAATTAAAGACTTATATCTCTAGAACCAACGGTATTAATGCATCTGCCTCCTTTGCCACAAGGATAAAACCAACATTCGTTTATTTCAGTTACAATAAAAAACGTTCATAAATCAGTTAAGAATTTGGATGCAATATTAAGAACAACGTCTTTTTAAAAGCTTACTCCAAATCACAACTACTGAGCATGGCTACCAAGTCATCTAAGTGTGAGTGTGAGTGTTAGTGAGCTTTTATAATAAGGACAAAATTCACACAAACATAACATGCATATCGTACATAAAACTTAAGAACTTTTATGCATCAGCAATATTAAGCATATTTTTGCATACACCTTCTTTTAAGTTCGTTTAACAAGTTTTTGAAAATTTTGACTACAAGTGTTAACTCAACGGACAGGGCCACTTTTTAAATATCCTAATATTGCTAAGAACAGTTATATTGCTCTTGTCATATTTATTCAAAGTTGTTTGATCATTTGATGCTAATGGATAAACGAAAAGATTTTTTTAGCTCAAAGAAATTCTTATATAGACTTTAGCTGCAGTGGCTAAAGTCTCAGTGATGTTGTAGATCTGCTCAGCCCCTCTCCACCAAAATTTTTTTAGAAAATTTAAATTTTCTTTGGAAATGTGATAACAATCAAGTGTTCTAAAATTCTGAGAATAAATGCCGAAAAGTAAGCATAGAGGACTATGAAGACATCTTGTAGATGCTATTGTCTTAATGACCAAAATGACATTATGAATTTGTTTATTCTAGAAAATTTTTATGTAGCCGGGTAAGCTGGCAACATATAATATAAGATCTAGAAAGACCAACTTACCGAAACATTTTCGATACCTTACCGAAACGACAAACTTCTTGCACATGATACTTTTTTACTGAGAATTTACTCAAATGCACGTACACAATTTTCGATCCATTTTCTTTAAAGTGTCCAATTTTTACCATCTTAACTGTAAAAAATATTTTACTTTTTTGGGAATCCGTTTATAATGCAAGATCCTTGAGCAGCTACCGCAGTTTTAATAGTAGTTTTACCAAAGTCATTTTGATGCCAAGAATTGGCTCTATCTTTTGCAGTTGGAAGCTAAGAACATTTTTAAAAACTCTTTACAAAGTGTAAAAAGCGGTATTTTTCTAGCAGAAAAGCGACGATATTATTGGAATTTCTTTGTACGAAATGTCTCAGATAAAGAATACTGCACTGTGTCTTAAATTGACAAAAGTGGATTTGAAATTTTGTTTTTTGATCAGTGATTATGAAAATGTACAAGATTGGCTGAATACTCTCAAGATTCGGCGATTAAATATGGGGCGCCAAATGTAAAAAATATTATTTATGCAAAATAATGTCTCGAATTTCATTATTTAGTAACCATCTCTGTATTAAATGCAAACAATCCGTTGATTTTTTCCAAACAAGCCCTGTATTGTTTATTGCAAATTAAATACTCCACTGCTTATCAATCCGAATTTAGAATAAATATCGTGCGTGCCAAATGTAAAACAATGAGCTGTTGCTAAACTGGAGAATGATTAAGAAGAAAGACGAATTAAAAAATAGACTGTAATAACGATTACTTCCAGTATGTTACCCCGGAGAATGTATTGACAATACACTATTAACAAATTTGGTGGCAAAATTTCCTTAGTTCGTATTTAAGTTACACTGCAGCTATAAACTTTACTTTGCAATTGGCAAATTTCATTCTTGTATTATACTCGTTTCACAATGGAAATTTTGGTTGGGAATATCGACGAAGAAACAGACGTATCCACAAGAAGTTAAAAGTACACTAGATATTTAGCTAATTTGTTTAATGATCTCATTACGCTTATTTCTAATTACTTTATTGAAAAGGCAACCTAAAGTTGGTGCAAGTCCAAGCAAAGTCAAAGAGATGTTTCATTTTGGATTCAGCTTCACTCAAATGACCGTACGCTAATGACCAACTCGGCTAACAAACAATAACCTTTTACGTAACGCAGTTATTAGTTATCCTGAAATATTTAAAGCCATTTCTGATTCCAATCTAAAAGGATTATTTAGAATTCAAACAGGGCCACCATACACAGGGTTTGAAACCCACCTCGCGACTGATGGCTTTACTAGTCTTATCACTTTTGGAGAAGCTTCCGACGACAACAAGGCTGAATCTGTACTACAAAGTTCTTAAAGACTGTCGATAAATATGGTAGACCGTTAAGGGTACGATTTGATCATGGTGGGGAATATGTTTGAGTTTTGCAAAGTATGATTCATCACCGTGAGGGAGAGGGGGTTATAATGTTATAGCTGGGATCTTCAGTTCCTAATCAGAGAGTACAACGTCCAATTGGTGATGTTAACGTTCAAGTTAGTCGATATTATACTGAAACCTTTGAAGAGATGGAATTTGAAAAAGAGCTAGATATTGCAAATGACAGTAATAAATTTTGCCTACACTAGGCATACCTACCCTGGATGAACAAGGCATTAGTCGATGTTGTTATGACTCAAAATAGCCATAAAATATCAACAGTATTTTGCCACGCCACATCAACTTATGTTTGCATTTGGCCATTTCACAGAACTTAGCCGTTTCATGTAACATGAAACACTCTACCCTGCTGTTTCAGTACAGGATCAAATATGCAATGCCACAACACTTCCTTATTTTAAAATCTTACCATCAGTATGCCTACTTCCTAATGAAATAATGAATGAAAAAAAGCACAGTTGTGCTTTTATCAGTATCTCAGGATAAAAACAAATAGCAATAAATGAAAAGTGTGCAATTTCTGATAATTATCTTAAAGAAAATGATTTATAATTTTATGGTTTGCATCAAAATATGAATTAAAACGTAATTGCATTGAGAGGTTTTATTCACAATGTGATGATGTCAAATATATCGAAAAAATTAAAGTTGGCTTTGCATTGTTAAATTCCTAAATTATTGTCAACATAAGGCAACAATTTGCTAATTATACAAATTGAATAATATTAATATATTGTCATTAAATATAACACAAAAGATTAAGTTGGTTAAAGACAAGGTCTAAGACATCAGGCTTACTTGCCAGCTGCCTAAAATGCTCTTCTGTAGCGGCAGAAACCTAAATATTTGCAATAGATGACGTCAATACGACAATGACTTCCTTTCTAGTCAGTTCGCATAATACCAATTATATTGAAATATTGTATAAGTAGAAAACAAGATCAGACGGAGTAATAATGTGAAACTCTTCACTCAAGTCTCTAGTGATTTTAGTGGGCACCATATTTAATTGACAAAACATGACGCAGGCTTCTGCGCTCTAATTTATGATGTACTCAAACAGTGTCCTCGCCAAATTACTAAAACTTACAGAATTATATACAAACAATCCCATGTTTGTAAATGTAGTTCGTCCAGGTTGGTATAGTCTTGACAAGGACTATTTTTGTTGATGCTGACTGACGCTATGACAACCTAAGCGGTAGTCATTTTCGGAGTTAAATGAGGAGTAAACGTGAGGTTAAACGTATTTGTTATCTGGTTGTTACGTCATTGCATTGAGTGTACAGGAAATGTGTGGGCGTCAATTGTGTATTGTCATTGTGAATTAGTGTGAAGTGTAATGCTTTTACTTGACCGTTTGTTTGTATTGTGAATAAGTCGTTTGTTATGTGCCGGTTATTGCTGTAATCTTTTCAGGGGGGTTTGTTCCAAGTTGGTGTACCAGCTTTTTATCTTTAGGTATGGATTTAATAGCATCAGTAGCGTCGGAAGAGTCTTGTAATGAAAATTTATTTAGGGTAAGTGGATTCAAAAGATTTGCAATGAATTTTCCTACGTTGTAGTGTGGTGTGTTTGTGGTGTCAATTATTGGTCGTAACTTAGGTAATGTGTCAAATTGTTTGTGCGTTTTAGGTAGTTCATCTGCTCTGCCAAAGTGCGCGTGAGTAGGTCGTAAGAAAGTATGTTCGGTTTCATTGAATATTTAAGTTGTTTTTGACTGACGTTTCTAACACCTTAGCGGTAGTTATCTTCAGAGTCAAATGAGGAGTAAACGTCAGGTTAGTCGTATTTTTTATCTGGTTCTTACGTCATTGTATAGTGTGTACAGGAAATGTGTGGGTGTCAATTGTGTATTGTCTTTGTGAATTAATGTGAAGTGTAATGTTTTTAGTTTATCATTTGTTTGTATTGTGAATAAGTAGTTTGTAAGGTGCCGGTAATTGCTGTGATCTTTTCAGGGAGATTTTTTCCAAGTTGGTGTACCAACTTTCTAATGTAAGCCGTTGTTTATAGTCAGTACTGTAAGTAATGAATTTTGCCGAGTCTCAGTCAATGTTGTGCTGTGTGATTCGGTGATGTTCGGCAATGTGATTAGTTTTGTCTTGTTTCTTTAATAGCTGGATTGTGTTCAGTAAGTCTTATGCTTGAGTTCTTGCCAGTTCCCCCGATATAAGAGACGTGGCAATCGAAGCAGTTTCATTTGTAAACTGCACCTTGTCGTTTTTTGGGTTGTTCTTTGTCCTTTATGTTCGTTAGAGAGTTAGATAGATAGATAGATGATTTTTTTCTTAAAACTGGCAGCGATATTGCTGAAATACGTTTAAGATTACATATAATACATGCATAAATAAATTAACTAAATTACATCTTCAATGAGTTGGTATTAAAGTTAGCATTAAATGAAGATTGAGTCCTAAATTCCATAGTTGAACGTGCTAAACGAAGAGGCAAAAGGTCTTGAAGCTTATGTGAGGAATCTGCTATTATCTTCTGAAACAACGCTGTTGTTATATCATTCCTCCTTTCGCTAAGGCGTTGCAAATTAGTAAACTGCAGAGCGTTTTCATATTCTTGATGAGGCAGGATTATTTTTAATGCTCGCTTTTGGACTGACTCTAGATCATTTGGCAGATACAATGTCAGACTATTGTGGAACACTAGATAAGCATACTCTAAGACATGTCTTATATACGTTTTGTAAACTTGGAGCAATTCCTTGACTTCGATATTTGCTCGTTTTAGTTGAATAAGATAATAGAGGCGTTTACAGCATTTCTTAATTATTTCATTTACGAGGATGTTCCACTTAAGGTTGATGGCTATAACCAATCCCAAAACTTTCGCGTGCTGGAAAATATCCAGTGTAATGTTATTGATGGTAATTGGTTGAAGGTCATTGGTATTAGATCCAAAACAAATTCGCATCTCTTTACATTTGGTTTCGTTTAACTGGAACTTATCACGCGAGATGCTGTTCGCTAATGTGTCCATTTGGTTTTGTAAGTTACTTGTTTGATCTTTCTCAATTACTTCACTAAAAGTGGTATCGTCTACGAATTTCCACATTTCATTATTTGGTAACTTGAGATCGTTAATCATTATCAAAAATAGCCAAGGCCCCAATTTTGTGCCCTGCGGAACGCCTACAGGTATGAGTTCACACTCTGAAAAGCAATCGAATTTCAGCTTTACTCTGTTTCCTGTAGGAGAGGAAATCCATAATCCAATGTAGAACCCATTTCGGTATATCAAAAGAAAGTAGTTTTTCAACCAATAAATTATGATCAATGAGATCAAAAGCTTTCTTGAAATCTAATAACAGCACACGAACGGCCGCCCCGTTACTATCAGTTGCTTTATTCCACGACTGTAACATACTAAGTAAAGCTAGAGTTGTGCTTGAATTTGGAATTGCCCCATACTGATTAGAGTCTATCTTCTTAAGTACAGCTGGTGTGACATAATTTTCCACAACAAACTCCTTCGGCTACTTTTGATACAATCGCAGTAAGTGATATAGGCCTTAAGTGTTTATTAATATCTCGTACAGGTTTCTGCTTTGGAATCGGTATAATATTTGCTTTTTTCCATGATTCTGGTAACCTGGCCTCTTTAAAGGAGGTGTTTATAATATCTGCCACGGGAACGGCCATTAAATCAGCATTCTCTTTTAGAACCCAGGCGGGAATACCAATTGAGCCAGTTGCTTTCCTTGCGTTAAGAGCTGACAACATCTTGAAAGCAGTAAACTCAGTGACAGGCAACAACCTCGGGAAATCATCATTCTCATTATCAAAGCATAAATGTTAGGGCAGTGGGTTAAAATCTTTCATGGTGTTAGAAAGGATTCGTTGATCATGTTTGCAAGTTGCTCAGGAAAATGATCAGAGAGTGTTAGTGCATTATCAATATTTTGCCAAGTTGACATCATATCTTCCTGTGAAGAAACCGACGGTGAAATACCACTTTACTTTTTGATTTCCTTCCACCAACTTGCAGATTAACACGATTTTAAATGTTGTACTTTGTTTTGGTAAAAACCTTTCCAAAAAGATTTTCTTTCTCGGTTTACTTGGTTTCTTAATTTCTTGAAAGAGTCAAGGTCTTTTTGTGCAAAAGCTTTTTCCGTTTATCGGATCAGTTGTTTTAGCGATTTGGTCATCCAATGAGGCTCATTATTGATCAGCACCTTCTTTTTTGGGAGTAGGAAATCAAGACCAAAGTTAATGATGAGCTCTAACATTTTCATTTTATCGTCACTATTTCTTCCTACCCACTGTTTGACATTAACTTCTTCTAAATATTTACCAAAGGCCGAAAGTTTGGATGGTCGCAAATCCCTGGACATTACCACTATTTTAGTCCCCGAGTTTTCAGATCTTTTTATAATGAGGGGTTTTGCACAAGTAAGTGCCAGATTAGGTGAAATACTGGTAAACGGTGATTTCACATCAAAAGACACTAGTACATAGTTGTCCGGTATTTGTATTCTGATCAGTTTTTTAGTAAAAGTTTCAGTGGATTGTAGCTTGTGTTTTGACTTGCTTGTAAGTGGTTGCAGTATCTCAGTCGAGTACTTTGAGAGTTCGTAAGTAGGCGAACCATAAAATGATACAATTTGTCGCATAGGTATTTGTGGTTTGTGATGTTTTGGTAGTCCGTATAGTCTGGGTGGTCGTGTTACTGAACATCTAAGTCGATAGTAAATACGTTTAAATATAATGTTAGATTTTCTCATAGAGAAGATCTTGCTGTTAGGCTTGCGTACTATATTGTATAAAGGCAGTTTCATGTTTAGGTTTTAATCATACTTGTGAGTTGTCTACTCATGTATACAGTTTTGTGTGTGTTTCACTTCCTGTATCCTACAATGCATTGCGTTCCGCTTTGTTAATTTTTTTCTTAGTTGATTCTCTCTCTTGCCAAGAGATATATCGTGTTAAATAGATAAGCATCCTAATCCACATCAATCTTAAATAAACAACAGGTTATGGGCCCAGACACCCATTCCAACTAAGAAAATAAACATCAGTGATCATGGATGATAAAAGCTGGAGTGTGGATAAGCTCACTACAGACAATTACTCAACTTGGAAATTCAAACTCAAACACCTTCTCATAGCAAAGGACTTGTTTGGATATGTAGATGGATCCATTACTCTGAGCAGTGAGGCCAGTGAAGCAGACAAGACCGCTTATAAAAAGAATCATAGCAAAGCTTTCTCCCACATAGTCTTATCAGTAAGCGACAATATCATCTATTTCATCACTGAATGTGCTAATGCCCAAGCAGCATGGGACAGGTTGAGTGCTCATTTTGAGCGTGATACTCTTGCCAACAAACTGTTTCTCAAGAAACAATACTTTAGAACTGTTATGAAGGAAGGTACGTCTATGCAGGAACATCTCCGACATATGAAAGCCATAACAGACAAACTCGCAGCGATCAAAGCTAATATAAGCGAAGAGGATCAGGTCGTCACTCTGCTTGGTAGCCTCCCCGATAGCTACTCAACTGTCGTAACCGCTCTAGAGGCACGAGGTGACGATATATCGCTAGAGTTTGTGACTCAGACATTACTTAATGAGGAACAGAAGAGAGAACAAAGATCTCTGGCTTTGGCTGGCGTATCTGGTAGTGGCAGATCTCAAGCCAATTCTGACACTGCCCTGCTGTCGGCCAATAGCAGACCTGATCAGCAAATAGAGGATGCTATATATGTGGTTCTTTGGACCACTATCAGAATGTCTGTCCCAGAAAGAGCAGTAGTGGTAGGGGAAGTCGCGGATCTCGTGGTGGTAGAGGACGTAGAGGGCGTGACCGTGGCTATGAAAATAACTCTGACAGACCTCATCATGTTAAGATGTCACAACAGGATGATGGTGATAGCGGTGAGACGGCGTTTGCGATGTCCGAGGGTAACGTCGAACCTTAACTCTGGCTAATCGACAGTGGAGCTAGTAGTCATATGGCCAAAGAACGAGATGCTTTCTGTGACTACACGCCTACTGCACCAGAATCACCCGAGTATGTTATGATAGCCGATGGTTCCAAGATACAAGTGAGGGGGGAAGGTAGTGTGAAACTTCAGGTCTGGGAGAGTCGAAATAAATCCAGATATGCTACTCTGTACAATGTGTTACATATCCCCGAACTAAGTGGAAATCTGTTCTCAGTAAAAGCCGCTACTCAGAAAGGCTACGTAATCCAATTCGGACATTCTCGATGCTGGGTCAAAAATCGTAGAAAGATGGTGTGTGCATCTGGCACCATGAAAGATAAACTTTACTACCTCGATGTTAGAACCGATGATCACTCTGCTAGGTGTGCGTCTAATACAGTTCTGTGGCACCAACGTCTCGCACATGCTAATATCAACAGTATCAAAAACATGACTCAGTGGTGTAACAATGGCTGTGATCTATCAGGTAACATTGGTGTGTGTGAAGCCTGTGTAAAAGGCAAGATGACTCGTCAACCATTTCATACTGATAACATGATCAAATCAACCAGGGTGCTCGAGTTAGTCCATTCAGATGTGTGTGGCCCTATGCAAACAGAATCTATAGGTGGTAGTAAATACATAGTGTCATTCATTGATGATTTCTCTCGATATGCTCTTGTTTATTTTTTGCATGATAAATCCAGTGTGTTTCAGGTCTTCAAAGAGTATGAGTCTATGGTTACTAATGCTACCGGTCAGACTATAGGTACGTTGAGAACTGACGGCGGAGGCGAGTATGTATCTCACGAGTTTGAGAGTTACCTGACTTCACGAGGTATTCAGCATCAGCTGACTGCACGATACTCCCCGCAGCAGAACGGCTGTGCCGAACGTTATAATCGTACTATCTGTGAGGCAGCACGTTCACTCATCGCTCAATCCAGTCTTCCTAAAACGTTTTGGGCTGAAGCAGTAGCCACCTCTGTGTATCTGAGAAATCGTCTTCCCACGCGAGCTCACAGAGAGGTCATAACTCCTTATGAGAAATGGAACAATAAAAGGCCTGACCTCGGACACGTAAGAATCTTCGGATGTCTAGCGTTCGCTCACGTTCCAGATCAGCTGCGACGAAAGCTGGATGAGAAAGCAGACAAGATGACATTCGTGGGATATAGCCTCAGATCCAAAGCATATCGACTCTACAATCCGCTGACTAAGAAGATAGAGGTGCGCCGTGATGTAGTATTCGACGAAACTAAGCTAGGTATGCCAAAGTCTACTGTCAAACCTGAGGAAGCTCGCTCTGAGACTTTAGAAGTAGACCTACATGTAAACAACACTGATGAGTCGTCCCCACGTACCTCCGCACGTCCATCTAGTTCTACTCAACCCATCATCCGCTTCGGTATTGATGATCACACTGGTATGGGTCACGTTGCTTGCTCAGCCACTGATATCATAGAGCCACTGTCTTTCTCAGAGGCGCAGGAGAGTGTGAATCGTGACAAATGGATGACTGCTGCTGAAAGTGAGTATAAATCACTTATCGAGAACAAAACCTGGGAGTTAGTGTCGCTACCGTCTGATCGTACTGCTATAGGTTCGAAGTGGGTGTTTAAAGCAAAATACTCACCCGATGGTACTGTAGATAAGTTCAAAGCTCGACTAGTCGCCAAAGGATACGCACAACAAGCTGGTATAGATTACGACGACACATACTCACCAGTAGTCCACCGCTCTTCATTACGTGTGCTACTGGCTGATGCTGTGGAACGTGAAATGCTCATACACCAGATGGATGTGCAAACAGGCTTCCTAAATGGCACACTTCCTGATGACGAACAGATTTATATGACACAACCAGAGGGGTTTGTAGTTCCAGGTAAGGAACACTTAGTCTGCAAGCTAAATCGTTCGCTATACGGACTAAAGCAATAGCCGAAATGTTGGAACACTGTGCTAGATGAGTTCCTAAAATCTTTAGGGTTTACTCGATCTACTGCAGATAGCTGTGTTTACGTACGATGGAAGGATAACTCTAAGATGATGATCACAGTGTACGTGGACGACATTTGTATTATGTCTGATACAGACACACAGATGACTGAGGTAAAGTCTGCTCTCTCAGCTCGCTTCAAAATGACAGATCTCGGCGAGCTACACCACTGCATAGGTATAGTCGTAAAGAGAGACAACTCCTCCTTACACCTCAGCCAGACACCGTATATCCGACAACTACTGAAAAGATTCGACATGGAAAACTGTAATCCTGTATCCACCCCTGCAGCATGTGATGTCAAGTTAGAAGAGAATGATGGTAGCAAGCCAGTCGACGCTAAGCTCTATCAGTCTATCATAGGAAGTCTCCTATACGCTGCAGTGTCTACTCGTCCTGATATAGTGGAGACAGTGGGAGTTTTATCAAAGTTCAACTCCTACCCATCTCAGACTCACCTGACGGCCGCCAGGAGGGTTCTTCGCTACCTCAAAGGTACCCAGGATTTAGGTCTCGTATATCGAAAACAAGGAAAATCCCTATATGGATATACAGATGCTGATTACGCCAGTTGTGCCGACCGTCACTCGAAGTCTGGAGCAGTGTTCATACACGCTGGTGGACCGGTGAGCTGGTGTAGTAAGCGTCAGTCAATCATAGCCTTATCAACTGCCGAGTCCGAATATATAGCTCTCTTCGATGGTGTGGTGGAGTGTGTATGGTTACGTCAGTTACTGTCAGATACTGGAGCCCCCCCATCGACAGCCACCACCATTCATGTTGACAATCAATCTGCTCTCGCGATAGCAAACAACGGTAAAACAAGCAAGCGTACAAAGCATGTAGATATTAAGTATCATTACACACGTGAAGCTATCGAAAAAGGTGACATCGCTACTCAATATTGCCAATCCGAAGAAAATATAGCAGACATTCTCACGAAATCTCTGCCCCGAGAGCGATTCGTTTCACTTTGAGATATGTTAGGGTTAGCTTAGTCTGACCGGCATAGGACTAGATTTTGGATTGTGTTATTCCTGTTTCATGTTTTGTTCACTTGGTTGTATTTTGTTTTTTGTTAAACATCAAACTGAGTGGGAGTATTGTATAAAGGCAGTTTCATGTTTAGGTTTTAATCATACTTGTGAGTTGTCTACTCATGTATACAGTTTTGTGTGTGTTTCACTTCCTGTATCCTACAATGCATTGCGTTCCGCTTTGTTTATTTTTTTCTTAGTTGATTCTCTCTCTTGCCAAGAGATATATCGTGTTAAATAGATAAGCATCTTAATCCACATCAATCTTAAATAAACAACATACTAGTGATGGTGCTGGGTCTCCTTCGAGTTGCTCGTACGTTTGTCTGTTGTTAACAAGGGTGTCCATTTAGTCAAAGTAATCATTCCTGTCCATGACCACAGTGACGGGTTCTTTGTCTGCTGGTAAAATGATGATATTACAAGTGTCGTTAGCAAGTTGTTCGCTCTGTCGTCCAAATGATAGTAATAAAATATATGGTTTGAACTCGGGAGTATCGTTACATGTTTAAATATATAGTTCGTCCAGGTTGGTATAGTCCTGAGGAGGACTGTTTTTGTTGTTGTTTTGTTTGTTGTTGTTACTAACGACTACATACGTTTTGCAAGCAACGTCAGACGCATGCGACAACAACTCTTGTTCAATCAAAACTGCAAAGATTTTGGTCTTGTTCCCACAGGACTTAGAATTAAGTCCCCGTTTAACACACAATAGGCTAGTCAGATTGTCGAATCCACTACCAGATGACTGATACGAGCACAGATTAAAACTGTCGCAGACGAATCAACTATTCCATTAAACAACAAGAACAAAGACTGAACAAACTGAAGGAACTCATACCAACGACAGTAAGTGATACTTTACTTACTACGATACAAGCTATTTCATAGAAACGAGCAAACAAGACAGAGACACAACACCAAATCAAACAACAACTAAACCTTGAACGTTTAAAACGCACTAAAACATATACAAGACATAAACATGACGATATCTGGGTGAGGAATATCTCATCCCGCTCATTAGACGAAACTGAAACACGACCAATATCTTACGGACTAAAACATTCCATAACACCTAGAAGAATACCAACTAAGACGATAATATCAAGTGTCAAGGCTGTCCTAGCGTATCAAAGTCAGAGACAACCAAAGACAAGATCAGAAGCAGGGTATCCTTCGCTTTACAATCGCCTTCATTTCTGTTCTCCTTAGTTTAGAAAAAAAATTAAGTAAATTTTCTCTACTCTGCAGGTAATGACCCAACTTTTATTCTTCTTGGTGTCGTTTGCAACAGCAATTACGGTGATCAGGAATGATAGAGAAAAATTAAATCTTTGGGCACGCTATTTTAACTGCCATTGTCATGATGATGGGTGACTTTGATTTTGAAGAAAGTTTTGTGGAAAATGATATCTCTGAGTTCAATACAATCAAAATGCTGCGAATAGTTCTATTTTGTTTTGTTTCTTCTGATTGTGTCAATCATCATTATGAATCTATTGGTTACTCTTACAGCTCAAGACCTAAGTGACGAGTTCAAGAAAAAAAAATAAGCAAGTCAAACTCTTTTATACTGTGAGTAATTGGAATTTGTCATGAAAGCAAAAAATTGTTATAAATGATAAGCCTATATAGGAGAAACTTCCTTAACTTTAATTTCAGAAATATCATTTTGATTGAAAATATACAACAGTCTATATGCACACTGCCTTATAATGATTGAAGAAAGGAGAACAAGAGCAGTCTTCCCACTAATTAAAACTGAAGCTAAGATCAAAGAGTGTAAATATACGTAGAGGTGAATAAAAAACAGGGAAGAAAAACAGTCTTTATATTTCCCTAAGATATCAACTTAAATAGCGAATGTTAGTGTAGGCAGTTATAACAAAAATTAGAAAGCAAAAAGGATATTGACGCTACTTAAAAAGACTAATACGCAAAAAAATAATTTAAAAGAAAGCTTAATCAATCGTGCAAGCTTTTTTAACTATAGGTTTATCTTACCTAGTCAGAGGTCACTGTTCTTCAACTACTAGAGTAATAGGATGTCAAGTCTCACGATCGTAGTTGAATGAAAAGATTTTATTTTGGGGGTTTTAGATTAGTAAAAACACTATATTAATAGCCTCCAATATCAACGCTAAATACGTCGGCATAACGTATTTGTGAAAAAAAGGATAAAAGCTTCGATACATCGATTTCCAGGTAGAAAGCCTGTAGCTGGGAACCAAGTTTAAGATAAAAATTTAAACGAACTAATTACACAATAGCAATTGAACTCCCTTATTGATCCGGTCATCACGCTTATCGGTCGATATTATACCAGATCGTCCACTGATCTGGCTATTCACCAATGGAATGGCTTAAAAAGCGTTCTTAAAGTCCCTTATTTGTCAAACATGTCGAGCCAACCCGCTTATCAGTCAGTCAGTTAATATAATTCCAGATATGTTAAAATCTTATGATCTGGTTACTAGAGTGACATTTATATAAGTTTTCAGATATAAAATAGAATTTTGACAATGAAATTTGAACGATCATTATAAATCAGGAATTTGATGATCACAAAAAAATTTAAAATCAAACGAAAAACTAACTGTAATTTGAAGTTTTATTGTAATTCTATGAGTTATTGGAGAATGAAACGAGGGAATCACGTAAGATATGTGCACACAGGTCAAATGTTCAGTCTTCAACGCTTTGATTATTAAAAACATAAGGAAAAAAACCCATAAGTGGGAAACAAACCAAATTGTTCTCTCAGGCATTACTGTGCGTGGTTGACTTCTTAGTTTCCTTGTTCATTAACTCACATGCATAGAATCATACTTAATTTCTATTTCGTCATTGGACCACGTTACTAAAGAGTTACATGAGATATTCAAAGTGTTGGGATCATGAGCGTACGTAATAATAACAGCCCATCAATCGTCAATATATTCTGAAAAACCGCTCTCGATGAATAACAATAACATTATATTTTGCTACATTTGGTCCTTTGGACCGCACTGTAACAACGCTAGCCTATAACTGGCGTTGATGTGCAGGGAATTGTTATAAGATATGTGAAGCGTAGATGCATTTATCCATTCAGCAACTTGCAAGGTTCATGCAATATCAGCATTACTCCATTTTGCTACAAATGATGACGCAGCTCTTGTGTTGTTTCTTTTAAAGTCAGTAATACCATCCATTTTTAAGATTTTTTAAGGCACCTTGATAGAGTGTCAGATGTTACGGCTTAATGGGGCTTCTGATAACTAATCAATAATTGACCATTTTTACTGTCTCATACACCATACTAACTTCAAAAAATACTGCAAAAAACCTTATACCTTTAGCAGAAGAGGTCGAAATTAAAGTAATTTGCTTAGAATGCAATAAATCTTCCTTTTTCAATGGACTCATAATGTGTTCTGGGACACTTAGTTTCTAAGAATTTGCCGGTCGTGCGTTTTTTTTTAAATTTTCTTTTATTTTTGTGTCGGTTAGTTTAGCAGACTAACTTTTGTTTATAATGTCAGCAAGTTGCTGATTTATAACTGGACCTATGTCCTCATCTTAATGGAAATATTTCTAGATATCAATAAGCATAGCGTCCTATTCATTTCGAGCAGTTTCGACGCTTCTTTCACCCTCTATGACCGTGTTGGCTAGGGTGTACGTGGTGTGCAACAAGGCTTCTCCATCATTAACATCGATTTTGTGCTAAAACTCAGTTTGTTTTAAGCTTTTCGATCGTTTCTTCATCGGCTTATCCGTTTCCATGTGCTTTAAATGCACCATCACAGTTTATTGATTTCTTCATTTATTACATGGATTCTGCGATGCTCAAAAAAACTTAATTTAAGTTTTGAAAAAAATTTTGGCATCTGCTTCTCGTTGATTGGATCTCTTTCGTTATTGTCCAATATGTCAGTTTTTTTGAGATCATACTGTAAAATTTCATCCTCATCAGAAGTTCTCGCCATTTATAAAATTTTGCGAGCGACACTAATGAACAAACGTGGGAAAATAAACAGTAGCTTTGCATGAGCATATCTCACGTAACTCCTTAGTGACTTAGTCAGATGACAAAATAGAATTGTAACCATTAAATTTGATGACTAATTTTTGAACTGTAAACTTCAGTCGCGTGACTATTTTGATTTATTCTAGATCCGCCCCAGATAAAGACTATTGAATAATTCATTATGTTTTTAAGTTAAATAATTATTTGCTCTAATAAAAAAATGAAAACTAATAAAATCAATGTCTGTCGAGTGATTTATCTAAAGCCACTTACACAAAGCTTAACTATGTTTTTTGTCTTATGTTTACCAAACGCCACAAAATAAGCGTTGGCGTGGAATTGAGCTCAATGAGCGTGGAAAAAATAACAAGGTGACATAACTTTTTTAACCAGATAATGAACACGAATTCCTAATAAATTATGTGTTAGGCATACTATACCTGTTATCTTTTAATGCTTCTTTGCATGATGAAAAACCTGAAAAATAAATGTTAAGAAGCGTTAGATAAGCATCAGTCAAATTTGGGACAACCTTGAACAACACGTAATATGAAATGTAGCTAACTTTAATTTCCTACATTTTTTTATTGAAGCGTTATTAAATATACTTAAGAGCGCTTTGAATTAAAAAATCAACCAATAATCAATACTAGTGAGCAACAAATTTATGTCAAAACTAGCTGACGAAAGATTAGAACAATTGAATTGCAAATAAGAGAAAACAGCAGAACTGATTGCAAACATTGATTTGAGGAAATAGAGACCGTAAACAAAAAGAACTAAAGTGATTTAGCAAAATGAATTCAATTGCATTGAGTCAATATTGAGAAAAGAAAATAAAAAAACGCCGTGGTCATTCTGAAAATGGAAGAAATATGAAACATAGAAATACATGCCATTACTAAGTAACATGAATCAATTATGTTTGTAAATGATGATCGTCCAGGTTAATAAAGTCCTGAGAAGGACTGTTTTTGTTGTTGTTGACTGACGTTTCGACAACCTTAGCGGTAGTCATCTTCAGAGTCAAATGAGGAGTAAACGTCAGGTTAGCCGTAGTTGTTGTCTGGTTCTTACGTCATTGTATTGTGTGTACAGGAAATGTGCAGGAAATGTGTATTGTCATTGTGGATTAGTGTGAAGTGAAATATTTTATTTTTAGTTGTGATGTGTAATTTAGGTGTGACGTTTTTAGTTGTAGTGTGTGGGTGTCAATTGTGTATTGTCATTGTGAATTAGTTTGAAGTGTAATGTTTTTAGTTGATCGTTTGCTTGTATTGTGAATAAGTCGTTTGTAATGTGCCGGTAATTGCTGTGATCTGTTCAGGGGGGTTTGTTCCAAGTTGGTATACCAACTTTCTAATGTAAGCCGTTGTCTATAGTCAGTACTGTAAGTGATGCATTTTGCCGAGTCCCAGTCAATGTTGTGCTTTGTGATTCGGTGATGTTCGGCAATGTGATTAGTTTTGTCTTGTTTCTTAGTAGCTCGTTTGTGCTCAGTAAGTCTTATGTTTAAGTTCCTGCCAGTTTCCCCGATATAGGAGGCGTGGCAGTCGGAGCAGTATATTTTGTAAACTGCACCTTGTCGTTCGTTGGGTTGTTCTTTGTCCTTTATGTTCGTAAATATACTTGCAATTAATAAGATGTATACACAGTGACTGAGGTATATTTTAAGAATTTCGTCCTTTGGCCGGTTACATTGTTTCAATCTATGTAAGGAAACCCTAAGAGTCAAAAAAGGCAGTCGACTAATTTTATTCAATTTAAAAGTACCACAATTGAAAGAACGCCATTATTGTAACACTCTTCCTTACAGCATTTCAGCCCGAAGCTTACATGAAGTTATGCGTGAACTGGTTCTTTTGAGGACTTTAACTATCAATTACAGCGTGAATCAATAACAAAATACGCAATACAACCTAAGTTTATTAAATTTCATATTAAATTACAGCGTTAAAAAGCAGCGTGCTCTCCATCGTACGTCACGTAAGGTAAACTAGACCCAGTCACAGCACCTCACCGGCAAACACGAAAAAAGCCAATTTTGAGGACAAACAGTCAGGAAAGATCAAATTTTCCTCGTATAAAATATATTGCAAATGTTCTTTAAATAGTTAACTCAATCTAAATACATTATTTCTTAAAGGGTGATGTAGGCACTTTAAAGTGACGAGATTGAAAATGCATTTTTGACATAGGATGAAAAACACGTGCGAATATGTTGGAATGAAAACAGTCCATGTGACTAATTAATACGAATCAACTAGATCTACTTGCACCGAATTCGAAGTAGCTAGCTGGGTTACTCAAAAATAAGCGAAATCGTCAGAGCATGCGCAGTCAACTCAACTTTCTGCCCGAGCTCATAGTCATGGCGATGACAATAAGATCTATTAGCAACAATTAAAGTAAATACTTCAATAAGTAACATATTATCGGCGAAACGTTTGAGCATGCGCAGTGGACTAGACCAACTGTGGAGCGTACTTTTAAACATTGCGCTAGTGTAGCTGTTACTCTTTAATTATGATTTGAGGATTTATATCCAACTAGCAGTCACACCAACCTTTCTTTTCACCCACTCATTTTGCCGACATCACCCAATTTCAATGCTTTTGTGTGCTAATTTATACAATAAGAATGGCATTCACATTAAGCAAGGTTTACATATCACTCGAACATTGAAATAATTTTTGGTAACACTACGTGTGAAGTGTTCGATTGAATTGTATAAGCTTCACTGTTAAATGTTATGACAATTAAAATTTTGTGGTTTGTAAAACCATACTATCTTGATGCATGTTGATATAA